AATTTTATCATATACATATATTCTTAATTACATTTGTAAATTTTTAAATATTAAAAAAATTACATTAATATTTAAAAGAATTTAATTAAATTATTATTATTATTGTCTCAAAATTTAAAATGATGATGTTAAAAAATAAAATGATCAATTATTTTTTCTATAAAATTGATTGAACATTATTTTATTGTTTGTATACATTTTATTATAAAGTTTATTTTTTAAAAAAAGAGCACTATATTAAGAGAAAAAACAATATATATGAAAAAAAATATGAAAAATTTTGAATTTTTTTAAATTTAATTTAATTAAATTAATTTATACATTTAATAGAATTATAAAAAATTATAAAATTATTGAATTAAATCAGACTTTGTAATACAAAATATAAATTTTTAAAAAAAAATAAATATTCCAAGAATTATTCTAAAAAATAAAAAAATAATCATGAAAAATAAAAATTATATTTCCATTCTATTATATAATTGTTTTTTGTGTTTCACATTTTTTTATTCATAATCGCATAAAAATTAAACAATTCTCTATGTACAAAAATTTCATACTACTATGATGCGGATCGGTCAGTAAATACACTTTTACGAGATTGATCCTTTCTCTGGCACTTTTTTAATGGCGCATGTGTCAGGTGAAACGCCGCAGTTCGTATATCTGAATTCTCTCCCGAGAAAGACGAACATTTCGCAATGAATTTTATTGTGAAACGATAAATCGGTGTAGCACAAACTAACAACATTCGAAAAATATTTCAACGAACCATCGTCAGGCAACTGTGATTATTGCTTTTCGCCATTGCGCGACTATCTTTAAAATTCCTCTTTTTTTACCTCATCGTTAATTTCATCCGATTTGGAAATTCTGTTTCATTATAACTCTTTTCTTTTTTCATAATTAGATTTTCCTAAAAAGTATGTTGGATTACATAAACTTCGCACACGGATTCATAGAGTAAATTTTAGAAATGTAGAAAGTATATTTACATCTAATATACTGATTTCAATTATTTAATTAAATTCTTTTAAATATTAATGTAATTGATTGACAACTCAACGATTGCATATAATATAATCATAATTGAACATTTTTTTATATAAAAATGGAAAATAAATATTATTTTGTAATTTTCAAGATATATAATAAAGTGTGTATATTTTACAAATTGAATAATTATAGTATATTTTTTAGAAATTGATCACCAACTATGATAATTTTGTAAGAATTTGTACTATCATTAAAAATATTTAGATTAAAATATAATTTTGAATTTATACAATTTCACTTGTTCAATTACTCAATTTTTGTATAATTTTTTTGTTAAGAAATATTCTAAATTATAATAATCTTAATGTAAAATGTAATATTAAAATATTTCATAATAATTATAAGAATATTCTTTACTTTTATAGATAAGAGATTAAGTAAATTTAATATATATATTTATTTAATTCAATATATTACAAATCTCAATCAGATATATATGATTAATGCATAATTTTTGCCTTTTTCTCTAATATTTTTTTTAATTTTAACTTTTATTATTATTTTTAAATTATATTTTTCAATAATATTTAATTTAAAATAAAAAATTTTTCCATGCAAAAAGATAAATCAAAATTATATAATATCAACTATTAATCTCTGAATATATACAAAATAAAGTAATATTTTAAAAATAAGAAAAAATAAATCTTTGATATCTTGATTCAGGATAATAATTTTCGAAGTTCTATGTTTTAAAAATATTTTTGAACTTCTATGGAACAATATAATTAAATAAGCGTTAAGAAACATTGGAGATCAAGAACTATTCATTAAATAGCTATCTTCTTATAACGAAAAGCAATTCACACGCGATCTATGTTGTCCAAGTACGAAAACTGGCAGAACATTTATTCCATTGTGTTGACACAAGTTTTAAAAGCTGTTTCCTGTAAAAAAATATTGATAAAATTAATTTTTACTGTTTTTTTCATGACTAAATATTTGTGAACTGAAATTAATTGGCAAATTGTGTATAGAACCGGTTTTATCTAAATATATTTTAGAAGTCCTTGAAAAATATTATCTTACAACTGTATAACTTGGAAATATTACGACACTTTGTGTAACTTTTATCAGATTTTTCATAATTAAACTTTTAACGATAGATATGTAAAATCATCATTATATATAATTATTGTATGTAATTATAATTATAAAATATTTAATACATATTAATAAATTGTTGAAAATCAAATCGATCAATTTTTTATAAAAAATTCATGAAATTTTATGAAATCAAGTTAATGAAATTTTCATTAAAACTAAATAAACTAAATATACTAGAAGAATATATAATATACTAAGAATTTTCAAATGATGATAATTTTTATGTCGTAAAAAATTTATTGTTAATTAGTTATTAGATCATTCTTATTATGAATGAATTGAAATAATTTGCAGAATAATAATTTAAAATATATTTACATGCATATAATTATTTTTTTATCAAGAATCTAAATCATGTGTAATATCATCATATATAATGATATGTATGTAAAATTAATTTACATCATTTATAGATGTAAATTACTATTAATTTTGAGATATAAATTGTTATTAATTTTAAAATATTAATTGTTATTATCTATAATATATATTAAAATAGTTTATTTTATTAAAATATGATTGTATTTGTAAATGCTTTAAAAATACTAACATATATGTTAATATATAATCTGATACGATAATTATGCATATCATATTCGTTAAATGAATATCATTCACTTAATATGTTAAAATTAAAACCTGTCCAAGATTAGTTAACAGCTCAAGATTTTCTCTATTGTGAAACACATAAAAAAAATATTTTCTGAGATATTACTACATTCGAAGTCTATTGCATAAATTTTTCATTAATTATGTATCTCATAGTAAATTAAAATATATATAAATAAAAACATGAAAGCTAAAATATGCTAAAAGTTTTTTATATATAATAAAAACCAGATAAAAATTATAAAAGTTAAATATAAAAGTTGTTAAATATATAAAGGTTAAAATGAAGTAAAAATATCTAATATTTAAATAAGTGAATTATAATAAAAAAAAGATTAATTCAAAAAAAAAATTGAAAGAATTCATATATAATATAAAAAGAGAAATTCAAAAATTGAGGATACATTAAATATTGAATTTGAATATTATTAATCAATTGATTAAATAATCAATTGATTTTAAATGAACTGTAACCAACCTTAATCACAGTCTCTCACGATATCATCCCAGTCCGTTGTCCCCGATTATCATCGCTTTTGCACTTTTAATTTCAATACATAGGGGAACGAGCATGTTCAATTAATGTTGAATGATTATCATTCACTTCGTTGTGAATGAATCTCGACGAAAGTTTATCAGATATCTTCTCTGAGATGGATTTGTTTTTAAAGATGCCATTTGTACCTTGTGGATACAAGGGCAAAGCTTCCAAAATTCGCGGCGGATTTCGTTTTATCGTCTGATTGACAAAAGAAATTTTATTTGTTGAATTTTCTTCCAACATCCAACCTGGTCGACTAATTCGTCCAGTCGATAAACGTTGACTAGGTCTGTAACTATTCAAATCACTTATCATTTGCGCACTAGTTTGCAAATTCAACGCATTCAGTTGAAGATGATTGCCTCCAAGCGGAATGATGTCCTCGGAACCGCCTGATTTACTCAATCTGCTGCCGAGTTCTGTAATATAATTATGTTGAATTTATAATCCTTATAACGTATAATTATTTTAATTTTGCAATAGAGAAAAATTTAAAAACAATGTATTCTCAAGAAATTATTGTGAGAAAAACTTAAATAAACATTTTTAATTTTGTTGGTTTGATTTTTCTTATTTTTATTGATGTGAAAAAAACTAATTTTTGTATTATATTTAAAATTTAATAAATTATAATTTTTTTAATTTTTCCAAAAAATTAGTTGTTATGTTTCTATATATTTTATATTAATAGATATATAAACATATAAATTATATGTTTACATTGATAGATCTTTAAACTTTGAACTTTCAACTTGCAAATTAATTAAGTTAATTAAATTAACTTGCAAATTTTAAATTCTCAAGCAATGAATTTTGCATTTTGCTACATGATTTTACTATAACAATCCAACTTTCACCTACAAAATTTCTCTATTCAAACAGTATTCATTAAAAATTTTTGATCAATATGTAACTTTAATATATCCTTTCTAAAAATAATTTCTAATTTATATTATACACATATAATTTATACATATATAAAAATATTTTATATAAGATTATATATTATTATAATAAATTATTTTTAATAAATATTTATTATCTTATTATTTATATTATTATATATTGATAATAGTTTAAATTAAGAATTATATTTGAAACAAATAATTGATAATTTAAATGTAACTGTATATTAATCAAAAATTATACGTGCATACAATTTAAAAATAATTTTTAAAATACATGTATTTTTAATTCCAAAAATTCTTCAACAATTCATATACTAAATTTAAAATTTAGTTAGAAATTTTTAATGATTATTTTTGATAATATTTTCGATTTTTAAATTCCATTATATACATTTATATTATATCATGCTCACCAAAAGTTTTTGCTTCCCTGACATGAGCTAACAATTTGTCGATTCTATTTCGTCGAAAGTATGTATCGACGATATCCGGTTTTTTAATCTCTTCTTGTTCATTATTCTCCTCATTATTAGCTTCATTTTCAATTTCATTCTCATTATCTTTGCTATTATTATTATTATTGTTGAGATCAGATTTGGAAGACAATATATTATATTGTATATTATCTTTAGGTATTAACGATGCTGGAGGAAGGGAAATATGCGGCGATACATCCGGTAGCCTCCAACGATTCAACTCATCGCACCAAGTAGCTGCAGATCTGACAGCAGTAACATCTCGAAATGGACATCCGGGTCGAAGATGAGGAACCATCGCGTCGCATATTTGAGATATGAGAAGCTCTCTGCGTAGAAGATCGCGTCGCTCCGCATCCCAAGAAGCTTGAAGATCTGCTGCTTCCATTTCTAATTGTTTCACTCGTTTTGCCATACGTTTCAAAGCATCTTCTGTGGATCTAAATATGAAAATGTAATTAAAAAATATAATTTCAAATGAGATTATTATATTGTTTTGAATAATGTAATATGAAAATATTCATTAATTAATGAATAATCTTTTATGTGAATATGTATTTTCTTCTCTTAGAAAATTCCGAATAATTTATTAATATTTCTCTATGATTACAATTATTTTCTTATTAGTGAATCAAAATTATATCAATTATATCAAAATTAAAATATTTTTTATTATAATGATATAATTTTAATTTTCAGAAATATATTTGTAATGATATTTGTTCTTTTTTAGGTCATCATTAATTTTTTTTACATATAATTTTTTTTTCAACTTATCAATTTTTATATTTGCCTACTTTTTTTATTTAATAAAACAATAATAGATATTTAAATGAGAACTTATACAAAAAATCGAAAATTTATATAAAAATATGTTACGAAATGTATATGGAATTACATAATACATTTTATATTTAAAAGAAAATTTTTAAAAAATTATTTCTATATATTTATCTAAATATCTTTTCCTTTCATTACTAACCTAAGCTGACCATAGACTTGGAAGACGCATCCATTTCCTTCCTGAGCACTCGTTTCGAGTGCCGAAGCAAGAGTTTCGAGTTTTTTTCTCCTTTTCTCCCTTCGCCTTTGCAATTCCGTATTACCTTGCTCTTCTCCTCCGATAGTTAATTTCTCCAACCTTTTCAGCACTTCTTGCATAGCAGTTTCTCGTTTCTTCCTTCGCCTTTCCTCGCGTTCTAAGTCCTGTTCGTCCATTGGTTGCTGAGAAACAAGTTTTAAACTCGTGTTATCAACAGTACCAGTTCCATTACAAATCTTCAAAGCCTTCAATTCTTTTCGAAGTTTTTGAGCAGATAAATTCGAATGTTCACATTGTTTTTTCAATTTTTCCATTTCTTCCGCGTATTCTTTTTGCTTGATCATTTTTTCATCGTCAATTTCTTGCTTAATAAAAGGTTCTTTTATTAACGAATGATCACCTATCTCAAGTAATTTCCTTAAACGTTGCAATTCTAATTGATACTGTCTTAATAATGCATCTTTTGGATCTTCATTGATTACAGGTTTATTTTTGATGCATCGAGCTCTAGCTGCATACCGTAAGGTACTCAATGTCTCCTCTGCATCCACATCACTTGGACTTATACAGGCTATCATTAACGTTCTTGCGTTTCCACCAAGGCTATCCCTTAATAGTCTTGTCAATTTACTATCTCTGGAAAAGGAATTTTAAAATTTGATAATTTTATAATTGATAATTATTCCAATATATTTATACATTTGTTCTAATATATCTATACGTTTAATTACAAAACTAAAATACAAAAATAAAAAGCGAAATAATAAATTATCTTTTTAGCGGTTATTTTAAAATAAATTACGAGAAATATTTTTTAAAGTTTATGAAATTATTTGAATTTTGAAAAAAAAGTTTTATTATTTTTAACTTTTTATTTTTTAATAAAAAGCTCTTTACAAAAATCTAATTCAGAAATATGAAAGTAAAAGTCATTTTTTAAGATGGATTTAGATAGATTTTTATATATTAATTTTTCACGAAATTAGTTCGAAAATTAATAATTTTTGAAAATTTCAAAATTTAACGAATCTCTTAATTTTTTGAATGAATGTATTATAAAAATTTCTAATTTATAGCTAATAAATTTTTAACATACCTATATGGCACATGTCTTCCATGACCAGCAGCCAAAGCACTGATCACATTTCCTAAAGCAGATAGGCTTAAATTAATACTGGCTGCTTCTTTTAATCTATCCCCAGTAGCTCCAGTCCTAGCCTGTCTTTCAGATCCAGCTAGATCCACCAGATGAAGTCTTCCTCTTTTCACTGTATTCTCAGCTTTACTATCTTCTTCGTTAATAGCTAATGTTTCCAAAGATAAAGTCAGTACAGCGTGACTTCTAGAACTAGCTGCATTCATTTTAGTAGCCGCAGCAGCTCTTCTTCTATCACCCTGTTCAACCAATCGAGCACATTCCGCCGCATCCTTTACCGTAATTTCCTTTAAACCACCAGCTACGTATGTTCCACGATTGGGATCTTCCTTCAAAGTCAACATATTGCTCATCCCATCTTGTAAAAGATCTCTTAATCGTTCGTTGTAAATTTCCAAATAACTGAGTAAAGCTAGATATCTCATTTCCGCACTGGCTGTCGATGTTGCCTCAAAAATGTGATCCAAAGTGCGTTCGATGAATCCTCGCATCGTGTGCGATTTCCCGCAACCTGTTTGTCCATAAGCAAATACGGTGCCATTATAGCCATCTAGGACAGCTTCTACAATGACAGAGCCGACATTATCGTAGACTGACTCGGTGCTAGCCTCGGGATTGAAGGCAGCATCGAACTGGTACACCTTGCCATTTCCAGTACCAGCAGCTGGACACTCGAGAGTGCAACATTTTGATGGAGGATCGATTATTACCACATTCTGTGAAAATAAAAATAAGTGAATTTTGAGATTTTGAGATAAAGTAAAGAATATATAAACATTAATTGAAAAGTTATTTCTTTCAAAAATAATGGAATTAATGCAAAAAAATCATGAAAATTTCGTCAGATATTTCATGATACAATACAATATTTCGATTAATCGTAATGATATAGATAATATGTATTCAAATTTAAAGATTATTATTTTTATAACATTTTATTAAAATTTTATGAAAATTATAAATATTTACATAACATACATACTTGTTTATATAATTTGATTAAAAAATTTTTTTTACTTTTGTTTTATAATTTTATTTTGTTTTTTTAATTCAATATTATTTTTAATTTTTAATATATTGGAAAAAATTTTCAATTGATATATGAGCTGTTATCTTTTTACGATATTTTTAATGTCAATTGATTTCAAAAAATAAAGAATATAAAGAAATTCTTTGATTGATTTGTTTCTTAATTTTTGTTATATATATTTATAAATATATATTCTTAAGAATAAATCATAAAGGAAAATAAATATTTTTAATATTTTGATAATTATTTTTTTTCATAAATACATTATAAAAATTTATTTTATAAAA